TATATGGAGAGCCCTGTGCTGACACATGCTGGCTTGCAGCTTTGAGTTGCGTGTGGGGCTATGGCAGCCAAGGTGCCTGCCCGAGGGTCCCACTGGGACACTGGACAGGAGCCACCTACTATGGTAAGCACCTCTTGGCCAGAGCCAGCACTCCACCCCATATCACAACTAGGGATGTGATAGTAGAAATGGTTAACCAGTTACAGGAGAGCCCTGTGCTGACACATGCTGGCTTGCAGCTTTGAGTTGCGTGTGGGGCTATGGCAGCCAAGGTGCCTGCCCGAGGGTCCCACTGGGACACTGGACAGGAGCCACCTACTATGGTAAGCACCTCTTGGCCAGAGCCAGCACTCCACCCCATATCACAACTAGGGATGTGATAGTAGAAATGGTTAACCAGTTACAGTTAACTAGTGACCTGGGCTGGAGCAGCCCCTGCTCATCCCCCGTTAAAGCGGTTAGGTTAAACTTAATGTTTTACTGGCTGACTGATTTAAACTGCATTTTTATATAATTTCATATGTAGTTAGAAGATGTTTTCTTCAGATCTCAGTTCAGATATTTCATTTATTTGTCTTTTGAATTTTGATAATATTGGCCTAAAGATACTTCATTTTATTCTTACAAATTCCTTTGAGATGAGTTGAGCTGAAATAAGGATTTTGTGTAACTAAAAAAATTTTCACTTTCTTTTAATCCATTAGAACAGAGAAGACAAAAGGTTGAAGAATACTTGTTGAGAAAAAAGTCCATTTCTGGGTTGCTCATTCCAGAGAAGCAGACAAATACCAGGTGGAGTGAATTAAATGTCTATCATGAAGGGGACAGTTCACCCCTTTACACTGTTGCTATGGGAAGCTGAATTACCAATCAATAGCACTTAACCACGTTTTAAAAAATTACATTATTTAAACCTTTCTAATTTTATATCATGCTTGTAGCTGAAAGCTTCTGAGTAACAAATATTGCTTAATATATTTCTAAACTATAAGGGATAGCAAATCTCTGTAGTCAAGAGATAGTGTAGAAGAACTGAGAGAAATCTGAGTTCTAATCCTGGCTCTATTAACTAGCTGCATGATCTTTCCCAAGTCATTTCACCTCTGTGCCTCAAATTTCCCATCTATAAAACTCAGGAATAAGACTTGCTTTCCTCTTCAAGGGTATTGTGAAAATTAGCATTGGTGCTATACTTTTGAATCTCTCTGTTGGGCATGGTATTAGTTAGCTGGATGTTTGCTTATAGTGGGTGTGGCCAAGTTTCCTGCAGTCCTGTAAGGTTTGTTTAGTCACTGTCCTGGCTCTCAGTATTCTGTGCTATTTAGCTCTACTCTACCCCAACTGTCTTTCACTGCTTACTGGGCTCTAAAAGTGTTGGTAATCCTGCTAAACAAGCATATTTTTTATGCTTTATTTACTTATTTCCTTGTGCCAATACAATAACATTTTGTAATACAGTAGAGTCTCGATTATCCGACCTAAATGGGACCAAAGGATGGTCAGATAATCGAAATGTTGGATAATATAGAAAATACCTTGTGGGGTCCAAGGTATTTTCCCTGTCAGCTCTGGCTCCCCCATCCTCTCTGGTCAGCCGAACTGCCCCACGGCTGGCCGGGAGAGAGAAGGGAGGTCGGGGGAAGCGCAGCTGGCCGGAGGGGATGGGGGAGATCAGGGCGCCCCACAACCTTCGGGGGGCGGGGACAGATGGGCTCCAGCTTCCTGCTGCATGGCCCTGCTCCCTCCTCCCTCTTCTCTCACTGCCTTTGTCTCTGCACTACCTGGCACCTTCCCCTCCGTGCTCCGCTCTGCCAGCTCCGCTGGGCGGCCACAAGCAGGTCAGATAACACGGGATGTCGGATAAAGGAAGGTCGGATAATCAAGACTCTACTGTAGCATGAACAGTTTATGAAGACTGCGTATAAGCCTTGGCTAGGTGTAGATTTCTATAGGGTGTATCAGTATAATCCTACATTAAGGAGCACTGCAAGCATTGTTCCATTTATTCACATCAGTGAAATAAAAGACCTACTATGCTTTGGCAAATTCTCTTGTTCAGCAGTGGTCAGGTCCTGAGGGTCTGGACTACATGAGAGGTATAACATGAGATGTCAAATATTTGCTGTATTCATACAGCTGACTTTGTAAAAGGATATCCATGTGAAACATCATGCTATCTTAGCATAATGATTTCTAGCACTAACTCTCAATGCAGGGACAAAATTGCTCATCCTGATTGAGAACTTCAATCTCTCCTTTCACTTTTTTCCCCATATTCAATGCCTTCTCTTACATTGTCCATTTTCAGTATTATTTAGTTAATTCATAACTTCATGCCATCATTTTTATGGCGTGCATTTAAGGCAGCATAGATTTTTTTTTTTTAAAAAACCTGTTTTGTATTACATGCAGATTTCATTTTAAATAGTTTAAAACTTAAACTTATCTTAAAACAAGGATGGGCAATAATTTTTGAATGGGGGCCACTTCAAAAATATTTGAAGTGGTTGTGGGCAGGGCCTAGAAGGGGCTGGGCCTTTAAGCAGCCGGAGTTGAAAAAGCTCGTGGCCCCCAGGCATCATGTTAGTGGGGAACTGGAGCTGCGTGAGGAGCTCTCAGCTCCTGTCCTCACGGCTAGCGCATTGCCTGGGAGCTGGGGATGCTAGAGCCCTTTCAACTGCTTTGATTTAAAGAGCTCGAGCCTTCCCCAGGGTTGTTGTCTGACTGCTGTGGGGAAGATGTGAGTCTTTTAAATAGAAGCAGTTGAATGGGCTCGCAAGAGCCTGGCTCCCAGGCAATGCAGTACAGGGCGTGGCCAGGAACTGCTGCATAGGCTGGGTCAAAGCCTTAGGTGGGCTGAATCCAGCCTGCTGAGAGGCTTTTGCCCATCCCTGTCTTAAAACATTTAAATATAAAAAGTACAAAATTCAAGAGCCTCTATCAAAAGCTTTGCGTTAAATAAAGGCTGCTGCTCCAGAAAAAGAGAGATGTTTTCCCCAGATGCTAACTTTTGAAGGAAAGCTTTATTAATTTGGTATACTAGAATTAGGGATGTAAGGTTAACTGTCTAAACTCTAAGCTGACGCTTATTTCCCGTTACCATTTAAACCTTGTTAGTGAGCATGGGTGGGGCAGTCAGGAGCCCGTGGGGTTGGCAGCCGCTAGGATCCTACAGTGGGCCTGGCAACAGCTGGCAGCCTGTGGGGCCTGAAGTAGTCAGGATCACAGAGCCTGCGAGGACCAGCGGCAGCCTGGAGCCTGCTTAACTGTGTAACCAATAGAATTTCCATCGATTACATGGTTAATATTTTTAAACATTTTTTTTATATCCCTACTATAGATCATCCCAAGTAATTTTAAGATATTTGAACATTTTCCCAGGCTGATCTGAAATAATTAGTTTAATTGACTACACTTAATTCCTCTGCTTAGTAAATCATCTAGCTGTAAATGTGAAACACTTTTGATTAGATTTTTGTATCCAAAACATTAAGGTTAACACTTAAGCTTAGCAAAAATAAGCTTTATTTGCTGTTCTTTGTGTTTAATTAAATTCCAGTTGCCACTCTGATACACCTTGAGACAAAATCATGAAGAAAAGTTAATTATCTGGTAAATGAACAATAAATCATCCACCTTATTTTAACTAACAAATATGTACAATTCATAAGAATCTGAAAATATTAAGCTATGTAAGTGCTTAAGTATATAGTCATGTATCCCTGTAGATAGCAAAAAGATGGACCAAATCTAGTTTCAAGCTCCTATGTAGTTGTAAATAAACACTTTTTAATGGTTATATCCAGGGCCCTACCAAATTTATGGTTATTTTGGTCAATTTCATGGTCATAGGATTTAAAAATAGTAAATTTCACGCTTTCTTCTATTTAAACCTAAAATTTCATGGTGTTATAATTGTAGGGGTACTGACTCAGAAAGGAGTTGTGGGGAAGAGTCACAAGATTGCTATGGGGGTGGAAGTGGTACTGCCATCTTCAAGGCCATCCATTGGGAGCTGTTGGTCCTAAACCCCACTTCATCCTACCCTTGTTCTGCCACCACTCCATTCCTTTCTCTAAGCTTCGTCCCTGCCCTGCCCCATCCCATGAAAAATGCAACCCAGGGTTTAACAGGAGGCCTGATTCCAACAGCAGGGGTATCCCGCATGCTCATTGGTGGTGGAAAACAGAGTGACCTGGCCCCAGCCTGCTTTGCTCTCCTGGCTCCCAACTGTGTTGCTTGGAGGAGCAGAGCAGGCTAAGGCCAGGGTGTTCCGATTTCCCACAGCTGCTGCCACTGCTTCCCATGAAAAATGCAACCCAGGGTTTAACAGGAGGCCTGATTCCAACAGCAGGGGTATCCCGCATGCTCATTGGTGGTGGAAAACAGAGTGACCTGGCCCCAGCCTGCTTTGCTCTCCTGGCTCCCAACTGTGTTGCTTGGAGGAGCAGAGCAGGCTAAGGCCAGGGTGTTCCGATTTCCCACAGCTGCTGCCACTGCT